CCCCCCCACCACCACCACCACCACCACCACCACCACAGGTAAATGGTGCTCGCTGACAGTTTAAATCTCCCCCAAAGCAATCCCTCAATGGATGGCTAGTGGAACTTAAAAAAAACCAACCTTGAATAAAGCCTTCCTCTGCTGCCACCTCTCTTTTCTCTCCATTGATCCCCTGTCCCAATCCCCCTTTCTCCGTTATGAGAGGAAGGTTTACATTTCTGAATGCTGTGATAGGCCACCACAGTGATCACAAGGAAAAGAGATACTCTGATTGGCTCATTAGCCTATTATTCCTGACCTGCACAGGATAACAACCAACAAACATTTTTTTCATACTTGATAGGGGCATAAAGAGATCCAGCGGTATTGTCTAAGCAAGCATATGTACTTGCACGCTATACATATACATCATCTACTGTACATCTCTCATGCTAAAATAAGAATATCAATCAGACATGAAAACACATCTAGCTGCTAACCCATGCACAACGCTAAAAACAAAGATTGAGATCATTGCCCACTATGTCTAGAAAGCAACTAGATCAGACAATTGTCATCCAGTTTCTATGGAAATCAAACTATTCCTTTCTTATAAAACCTAAACTCATTTTAATATTATTAGCCCTTTAACACCCTTGGCCCTTCATCATCTGTAATCCCCTGCACAAATCTGTGTTTAATTTTAAATATACCTAGCCTCATGGGAATATTTCACAAGATGTCTGTGAAATCACCCTTGTTAATATATATACAACTATGATATTTTTAATTAAATGCATTTTGTTAACATGGCAGCATCTGGAGTAACAGGTAAATCTTGCTTACACTATTAGATCCAGTAGTAAGGGCTATTATGACAGGAAGACCACATGGTTTTAGCTCTCCAACCATAGGAAAACAATATACAAAGTGTGCCGGGCTGGTATCTTTGAGGAGGGGCTGAGCCCAAAACCTTTTTTTTTTTAGTAAAATAATATCAAGTTAAAAAATTGCAAACAAACAAAATAAATAAATAAAAAGCAAGACTTTTCCCCATTATTTCAGAAGCAGAGCTGACTACTAAAATTCTTTCAAACTTCATCAATAGGTGAAATTATAACCAATGGTATGCTACAACATAACAAAATAAACAGGTTGCTTTACATCTTGAATGTTGACTAGTAAAGCTTATCTCCAGGCAAACAGAAAAATACTCCGGTAAGGTACAAATATACGGCTTATTTATCTGCCAATGGATTTTTTGGTTTTGTCCATGAAGTTCTAAAATGTATACAGCTCTGTGCTGTCTGGCAGGTAAGAGGACCAGATACTATTTCATTTACAGGTCTTGTCCCTCCCTCAGCCTATGACTGGACAGCAAAAGGCAAAGCAAGAGACTGATGAGCTCATCCCTCTTTACTCTGCTCTCTCCTCTTATCAACATGCACTTTGCGCACACCTGACTGCCCTCTCCCAGTCCCAGTTTTGTTTTACAGTAGAATGCAAGAAGCTGGTACCAAGCCAAATTCAGGTACTTACATGATGAATTAATACACGGTTGCATTATTTGTGACTCATGTATCTGCTTGAACAGTAAATGGAGTACTGTCTTCTTTTGTAACTAGTACAGGCACAAAAATGTGTGTAAGCTTTTGTAAAAACAATATGAAACACTTTAATGATACAAAACATTCAAATATACACAACATAAGAGCATGAAGCGGCTACATGATACACAAAGATGTCTCGCAGTCATTGTAACAAGCAATGAGCCTTATTAACATACACTATATTGCCAAAAGTATTGGTCGGCCTGCCTTTACACGCACATGAACTTTAATGGCATCCCAGTCTTAGTCCATAGGGTTCAATATTGAGTTGGCCCACCCTTTGCAGCTATAACAGCTTCAACTCTTCTGGGAAGGCTGTCCACAAGGTTTAGGAGTGTGTCTATGGGAATGTTTGACTATACTTCCAGAAGCGCATTTGTGAGGTCAGGAGCTGATGTCGGACGAGAAGGCCTGGCTCACAGTCTCCACTCTAATTCATCCCAAAGGTGTTTTATTGGGTTGAAGTCAGGACTCTGTGCAGGTCAGTCAAGTTCCTCCGCCCCAAACTTTCTCATCCATGTCTTTCTGGGCCTTGCTTTTTGCACTGGTGCACAGTCATGTTGGAACAGGAAGGAGCCATCCCGTAACTGTTCCCACAAAGTTATGAGCATGAAATTGTCCAAAATGTCTTGATATGCTGATGCCTTAAGAGTTCCCTTTCATGGATGGACTTATTGCACAGGTGGCAATCTATCATGGTACCATGCTTGAATTCACTGAGCTCCCAAGAGCGACCCATTCTTTCACAAATATTTATAGAAGCAGTCTGCATGCCTAGGTGCTTGATTTTATACTGTAGAAGAGGATGAAAGAAAGAGCACACAAACCTTGTGCATTACCTCAATAAATAGTGACTAATTTTATTTAATTTAGGAAATATACTCACAAAGTTGCCTGTTTAGTTTAGACTAAACAGACTGAACTGCTGTAATACTTACACTCAGTGGCTGAATGTCTCCTTGCTATGGGAACTCTGCCATACTGAAGTTTCTATCTGCTCAACCCAGCTCTGATGAAGAAGGGAGCACCCTTCGAAACACGTTAGTTTTTATCCCCCCCTTTGGATTTACCTGTAACCCTGTGTGGATATGGTTTACTTATGCCTGTTTTACCGTCACCTTTGTGCGGTAAAACAGGCACGAGCGAGGTACGCTCTTTCTTTCATCCTCTTCTACAGTTTTATCAAGCTTCTCCAGCTTCATGATAGAGCTGCACAACCTCTGATCACCAGCGGATGAACACGCTGTTTTTTTACTAATGCCAGTTTGATCTGAGTCTTTGAGCGCAGGAGATAATGGATCTTTGGTGCTTGATTTTATACACCTGTGGCCATGGAGATGATTGGAACACCTGCATCCATTGATTTGAAGGGGTGTCCCAATACTTTTGGCAATATAGTGTAGATATAATGCAGAGGAGGCCACTGACGCTTTATGAGACAGGGCTCAAAGCTTCTTCTTCAGAGGTGCCTAGATTCAGGTTAAAGGCATTCCAATGTAAGACAGTTAAATGAAAAGAGCTGCCGTTTGTATGCATGCTTCACTGGGCTGCATCAGCTTAACCTCCCTGGCGGTATTCCCGAGTGTAGCTCAGGGTAGAGTTTCAGTACCAAAAGCGGTAATCCCGAGCTACACTCGGGCTTACCATGCGGCGTTGCTCAGGGAGTCCCTGCAGCGCTTAACTTGTCCTTCGCTCCCGTGATGCGTCCCCTGCAGCGTCCCCGGCCATCTCCTCTGGCCAATGCCGGCATCCGGCTTCTGTGTTCCGGTCCCTGTGACGTTGAGACGTACGGGCGCCGGAACCAGCAGCAAATTTGAAATTTTTTTCAAAATGTAATTTTTTTTAAAAATGATTATAACATAGTAAAACATTGCTGTTTCAAAACATTTCACATACATATTGTCCCTACTGCTTTGTCCTGTCCCCTGCCTGCATTTTGACTGTTCTTTCTGCCTGGAAACTTAGAAAAGTCCATGGCGTCCAAAAAGCGTGCCTTTATGTCAAAAGCTGTTTTAGACCAGCTAGAGAACAGCGATAGTAAATCAGAACCACTTGCAGAATTGAGTGATAATGATTCGTGGGGAAATTCGTCATCAGACACTGAAAACGATTCTGCGACTTTGCTCAGTGATGTGTGAACTTGGCGCTATATTTTCAAATTTCAGTGTTTTTGGTTTGATTATATTATTGAATTAAATGTATTATATTATTATTATTTTTTATGATTATTTATTAAATTATAATTTATGATTTTGTGTTTCAAGTGTTATCATATCCGGAATGTTTACTAGACTCTTGTTCGGACAGATTTCAGTGAGTTATTCCTAAATTACAGGCCTACAATAAAAAAAAAATACATATTTCCATGCAAAAAAATGGTACCGCTTTCTTTCAGCACCAAAAATCTGAAATAATCATACCGCCAGGGAGGTTAAACTGTCCAGTATTACACCTTACCATCTACTGAATGTATGGGTAGACTTTCCCCAAAATCCCTGTAGTCACATCTCTGCATTATACTATCAGTCTTTGGGACATTTCCAACCATCCCTGCCCTGTTTTGTGGCCTCAAAGGCTGGAGGGCTGTTGGTTTCTGTATCCAAAGATTCTGTTGGTGGAGACTGCAGAAGGCGACAGCTTTTACCTAATTTTTAATAAGATGGCTTAAAGCTTAAAGTCCTGTCTCGGAATATGTCAGTGGCCGCCTCCACATCATATCTACGTTAATAAGGCTCTTTGCTTGTTAAAATGACTGTAAGAGACCTCTTTGTGTATCATGTAGCCACTTCATGCTCTTTTGTTATGTACATTTTAATGTTTTGCATCAATAATGAGTTTCATATTGTTTTTACAAAAGCTTACACACATTTTTGTGACTATAATAGTCCTAAAACAAGATGGTATTCCATTTACTGTTTAATTTTGATGATGGTGGCACTTCTCTAGCATTATATCACATCGTATGTATTTTTTGGAGTTCAGCTTTAACAATGAAAGCTACAATGTAACATGTAAGCACAAAACAATCATTTTAAATCCTGTTTACATTTTTTTTTCTCCAAGGTCTAAATTTTTCTACTGATCTTTGCAAAGCTTTAAAAGGAACTGTTCATACAGCTACCAAATATAAGATATTGCACCTGCTGGCATTCTCCAGTTATCCCAGAGTTCAACTTATCATTTTTATCATTGTCTTATTAATGTATTTACTCTGTATACTTGGAAACCTACTTGTAGCTATAATTGTGTGTCTCACACTCCGTTTGCATACTCCCATGTACTTTTTTCTGGGTAACCTAACAATTCTCGATATTGTGTATGTTTCTGTAATCTTGCCAAAGCTGCTGGCCATTACTATTACAGGTGACACAGGTATCTCATATCCAGGTTGTATTACACAAATATTCTTCTATGTTTTCTCTATTGGAACAGAGTTTTTTCTTGCTGACTTCTATGGCTTATGACAGATACGTGGCTATTTGTATTCCATTACACTACAACGTAATGATGAATAAAAGGACATGTGTGATATTAGCCATATTTTGTTGCAATATTGGAACTTTTAACTCACTGATGTATGCATTACTTATATCACAATTATCATTTCCCATTTCCAGTGAAATCAACCATTTCTTTTGCCATATGAAGTCATTACTTCGTATTTCCTGCAATGACAGCAAAAATATTGCGATATTAATTACTGTTGATGGTATTGTTTTAGGGTTTGCCACCTTTATATTAATTCTCACCTCTTATATGTACATCATATCTGCAATTCTAAAGATCCATACATCCGCTGGGAGACTTAAAGCATTTTCTAGCTGTTCTTCTCACATCATCATTGTTGTTTTATTCTGTCTGACATCTCTCACTCTTAACATGAAATCGGAAACAGAGTCTTCTCAGGAACAGGACAAAATACTCTCAATGGTGTATATTGCTCTAGTTCCAATGTTAAATCCCTTAGTATACAGTCTAAGAAATAAAGAAGTTCTAAAAGCTATAAATGAAGTTTTTTCGAAATTCAAAAATTAGACATGTGCCAACTGACATCAAAAACAAATGCAGAAAACAAGATATACAGTAGTCCATGAAAATAGTCTGCACCACTGTTGCTGCTCTTAAAAATCATACCAATTCTGACTAAAGCAGTGTAGGCTGAAACGTGTCAACTTTTCTGTATCGTGATTTGTACACTGTGTATTTCTCAATAAGCAAAGGTTTTTAAGAGCAGCAACAGTGGTGTGGACTGTTATCATGGATTGTTCTCTACATCTGTGCAGCTCCAGTTTGGGCACAACTAAACTCTTTTAAAATGGTTCTATGGAATAGGTGGGTAGTAGCACTATACACTTTATTGTAGGAAAACAAGACATACAGCTGAAGGCTGTAATCATAGAACACCACATACTGTAACTGGGGGAATAAAATATACAAATAAGCATTTAGTCCAGGTTCACACCTGTGCATTTTTTTCTGCATTTTGCAGGAACATAGCGCATGCCATTTATCATGATTTCCTATGGATCACGTAAACATCTATGCGGTTTTTGTGGGCGCATTTTTTGGAAGGGGTCAGGGACTTCTTTTCCCACAGTAATTTGCATTTTTAGTCCAATAGACTTCAATAGAACTGCATATAAAATGCAAGTGCTGCCTTTTGCATGCGTTTTTGACGCATTTTTGATGTGTTTTGTGTTTAATCTTCCCAGCAACAAGTCGGGCAAAAAAAAAATTTAAAAAATAGAAAACGCAAAATACATCAAAAAGTGTCAAAAATGCATTAGAACACGTGCAAAAACACAAAATGCACCACAAAAAGATCTGCAGAAAACTGGATCAAAAGGACATAAATTTCTCTTGAGTGCAGCATTGCATGACCGTGCAATTGTCAGTTAAAGTAAAGCGCCGTGATCGCCAAACATGGCCTTGTCAGGAAGGGCGGTAAATCCTCTGAAGGACAAGTGGTTATCCTTACCTGGCATCTCCTATTTCTCTCTATCTCAACTCTACTGTGGAAGCTATAAACCAGCATTATCAATTTATGCAAACAGAGCCATGTACAGTAATTTATACCTTGGGCTAACACAAGGCTGTTGTAATGAGTTAATAAACAGTTACATGAAATTCCCATGATCATACTTACGTACATACATATGTACTGTATGTGTAGATTTTTTGGTTTAGACAAAACTAGTGGAGCATAATTTGATTACTGTATATGACTTTGATCCATGTGAACATGGGGTATCTATCTAACTGGTTATGTGTGTGTGGACAATGGTCCCTTGTCCCTTGAACAGTTGTCGCCTTGTTCTGGGGACAACACAACCATTTTGGATTTCCCTTCACTTTTTTTCATGTGTGACAATGGTCACCAGTACAAATAAAGTAGTGATTCTGCACAGGAAGCAATAAAAACATGGCAGATGATCAAATCATTTCCCACTCTTTCCAAAACAAAAAAAGAAAAATAATTGCCTACAAAAACACTTTCATTTCAACTGTGTATAACTGATAACTGATTGTTGGCAGCAACCTCCCAAATCCTCTGTCAGCAAAGTGATGGGCATTCCTAGTACATTTTTGATACTTTTCTGGGTAATGCCAGAACTTCCAGCTAACCCTCTCCATCACATTTCTATTGACCCATCACTAAGATGGGTAGCCTTTCTGGTAAATAGGAATGGTGTAGGAGGTAGGAAGGGGTGTTCAAGCTTCTGCTCTAAAACCACTTGCCGACCAGCCAGTATGTCGCTGGATTTCAAGTGGTTATACCAGACATCATCCTGGTATGGATTGCTAATTAGCTTCTGGATTGCTTTTAGAATCTACAGGAGGGGTCTCCCCACCTTCCTGCCACATTCCGCTGCTCCCTCGGGCTCTCTCATCACACTGAGAGACCCGAGCATCAAGGCGGCGGTTCCAGCAGCAGACCATAGAGTTAATTGGAGACTGGCATGGCTCCAATCATCTCTATTGTATAGGACAGCGTTTTTCAACTGGGGTGGCATGGAAGAATGGACAAAAGCTTCCCCAACTAAGCAGGGATCTAGTAAAATATTTTAATCGCCATAATTTAACCCCATTCATTTGTACAGTGGTTCCGGTCTTTCTCAAACTTGCCTGCAGTTGCCACAGGCATTCAGAAAGCTATGCAGGCCGCCCGCCCGCATCCTTCCAACCAATGATGTCATCATCAGTTACTAAGAACCAGCCAGGCACCTGCACAGCTTTCTGGGATCTTCTCTGTTGGTTTCTGGGCTGTGAGGCTTCCTGCTGTTCAGTCGGTGTAGCTGGGGAGGCACATACAGGTGTGTGAGTGGGGTTGAAAAAGAAGACAGTGAGGAGGCTATTTAACAGGCTGCATATGAGCCCCTGTGAGCTGTTTGTTTGTGATGGTTGTAATTTCTAGCACAGTTGGTGTAATCTTACTAATTGTAGGCATGGTGATTTATATTAATTCATGTAATCATTACATGAATTAATATCAGTCACAATGCCTGCAATTAGTGAGAATGTGCATATAGTTTTCATTCATTTTTCAAAAAAGGAAAGCAACAGTGTAAAATAAAAAATAAATAATGAAAAACAATTTGAAAGTGCCCCCATCCCCCTGTGCTCGCACGCAAACCGTCACCTATTGATAAAAACTTTTGAGTCGTTTGTCACATTGTACAGGGCATTCGCAACTTTAAAGTGTGACCTTTATTTTATATATTGCCAATCAGTTGGGTATTATATTGTGTTTTTGTGCATTAAAATTCAAAAAGTGTATTTTTTCCAAAAAAAATTGCATTTGAAAAACTGCTGCGCAAATACCATGTGACATAAAAAAAATTGCAACATTCACCATCGCCATTTTATTCTCCAAAGCCCCTGCTTTAAAAAGGTAATGTTTGGGGGTTCTAAGTAATTTTCCAGCAAAAAAAAACTGATTTTAACATGTAAACAAAAAGTGTCAGAAAACTGCTGGATCTGTCAGAATGGTCCAAGATTCAGCCATGACAGGAGGGCTTTGGATGCTATATACAAAGATGACCCTGCTCCAAGCACTCACATGTGTTAAACGCCCCCCCTTTACATGCAGACTTCAAATTGCTCATCTATGCTTCATGCACATTAGCTAAAGGGAAAAGTGCTGCACTTTGATATGTCCCAACAGAGAGATCATTTCTATGAGCATACCCCACATCCCCAATGCCTATTTTAGAAGGAGGAATCTATGCAGGATGTGATGAGAAAAATAAACTCTTAGGATCGGGATTATAATGCTTTGTCTTTTTCTCACAAGAATGGTTTGGGATAGGTATGTGCATTTCTAAGTTTCTAAATTTTGTATCTGCTGCAGTTTTGGATTGTTTTTCCCCAAAGTCAGAGATAAAGTCTCTTTGAAGAAGAATTCCAGGCAAAATTGTTATTTTTTTCATGCAGTTGGACTGTTCTGTGGACAGGGGTGCATATGTGATTGTGGACTGGGGGTGTAAGCTGTGGATGGGGGTGGGTGCAGTGGTGAAATGATGACAGAGGATAAAAAGGGAAACTGTGGATGGGGGAACACATGCTAAAGTAAATTGTGGAATGGGAGGCAGGTAAGGTGAGCTGTGGATGGGGGGTGAGCTGTGGATGGGGGAGAGGGGGGAGCTTTGGAATGGGGAGGAGTGAGCTGTGGACAGGGGGTGAGCTGTAAACAGGGAGGGAGAAGGTGGCCTATGGAGGAGGTGATCTGGGGGGAGGTGGGGAAAGGGCGAGCTGTGGATGGGGGGGAGAGGGTGAGCTTTGAATGGGGGGGTGGGTGAGACGTCGATGGAGGGGAGAGGGTGAGCTGTGGATGGGGGAGAATAGGGTGAGCTTTGGACAGGGGAGGGCAGAAGAATGACCTGTGGATGGGGGAAGAGGGTGCACTGTGGACGAGAGCAGAGAAGGTGACCTGTGGATGAGGAGTGAGCTGGGAAGGGGATGAGGGGTGCCGGCTGGGAAGGCTCCCCGCCGGCAGAACACAATAGCATGGTGGAAAGGATTCGCCCATCAATATAGACTGTGTTGATGGGGGAATCAAGCAATTTTTCACCCTGCAACCTGTGGTTGTTAATGTGGTTGTCCAGTTCCATGGATATGGAAATGAAACTGCCTTGATCAAATGTGACAGAAAAATTTGGTTGACTATTATAAAAATGTTTCCAATAATTTTATTAAGTTTTACAATAAAATGTTTTAAGACATCAAAGGGGAATCATGTCGTTTATGTCTTACCTAGGTTAAACAGCAAAAGGTGAACAAGAACAAGTACAGGTAGGAAAGGACGGGAAGGTACTAGGGAGGGAGCCTGAGCGGGTGGAAAGGGAGGGGGAGTTAAAAGGGGGAAACAAAATGGAAGGGAGGGGTTATTTCGTGAGAGTACGTAATGAAGAATCCATGTTTGTACATGGGTGTGGATTATGAGGTTGAGGAATTTACCATTTCTTGGAAGTGGATCCAACAAGCAGGTGAATTTTGTGGGAGTATCCTGCGCTATGTGAATCAGCTCCTCCATGTCAGTCGTTTGCCGAATGCGATGAAAGCATTCAAATAAAGTGGGTAAGGTGGTAGAACCCCACTTAGGGGGTATGCAGTGTCTAGCTGCGTTTTAAAAGATGCATGGCCAAGGACCTATGGCATGCAGACTTTGAAAGTGAGGAGTGGTGCAGCAAGTACTGTGCTGGAGTGAAATCGAATGTATAGGTAGTTATTTTAGCAATAGTATCATGTATTTCTTACCAGAAAGTTTGCAGTACCATGCATGACCACCAAATGTGTAAAAGGGTACCAGGTTCAGACCCGCATCTCCAGCAACGTGGGGATGTTGTAGGATAAACTTTATAAAGCTGTGCAGGTGTTCTATACCAACCTGATAGTATTTTGTAACCCGTTTCTTGCGTGGTCACATTTATTGAACCCTTGTGCAGGTGGGTTAGAAGTCTCTCCCATTTCTCATTGGTTAAGTCCAGGTTAAGCTGCTGCTCTCTTTTCTGACACATTGTGCTGACCTTCAGCAT